TTGTCTTAAACAACTAGTTATATGATGGCACAGGAACCAGAATAAAGATTAAAGTAGAAATGGGGACATTAAAGAGTTAGGCTTGGCTGGGCATGGAGGCTCAGGCCTGTAATGCTAGCACTCTGGGAGGCTGAGGTGGGTAGACTGCCTGAGCTCAGGAGTTCGAGACCAGCCTGGGCAACATGGTGAAACCCAGTCTCTACTAAAATACAAAAATTTAGCCAGGTGTGGTAGCAGGCACCCATAGTCTCAGCTACTCAGGAGGCTGAGGCAGGAGAATTGCTAGAACCCAGGAGGGGTAGGTTGCAGTGAGCCGAGATTGTGCCACTGCACTCCAGCATGGGCAGCAGAGGGAGACTCCATCTCTTTTTAAAAAAAAATAAAAAAAAAAAAAGAGTTAGGATTTAGGTGTTTTAGACTAGAGATGCCTGGAAGATATCCAGAAACAGATGTTTACTGACAACTACACATAAAGATCCAGAGCTCAGAGACCCCTGAGCTAGAGTAGAGAGTGAGATTACAGGGTACATTTAGAGAGCAGAGAAGAAGGCACAGTGGTTGGTTGAAATACAGTATTCGCCAAGAGACAAGAACAGAAAATAAACCCAGAATACCTTCCTAGAACTAGATCATGGTGACAGGCTCTGATACTGGGGTTTTATTCTCTGTAAAGTAAATTTACAAAAAGGCTTTTTCCCCCTTTTGAATGACAGAATTGTTTACTCATGGTTATTTATTCCTCATTTAAAAGTAATATATGCCTAATTATTGGCCAGGTGTGGTGGCTCATGCCTGTAATCCCAGCACTTTGGGAGGCTGAAGCGGGTGGATCACTAGGTCAAGAGATCGAGACCATCCTGGTCAACATGGTGAAACCCCATCTCTACTAAAAATACAAAAAATTAGCTGGGCATGGTGGCACGTGCCTGTAATCCCAGCTATTCGGGAGGCTGAGGCAGGAGAATTGCCTGAACCCAGGACGTGGAGGTTGCGGTGAGCTGAGATCGTGCCATTGCACTCCAGCCTGGGTAACAAGAGCAAAACTTCGTCTCAAAAAAAAAAAAAAAAAGTAATATATGCCTAATTATTAAAAAATTTAAAAATAAGGAAAAGTAAAAAGAATAAAATAACAAGCATCCATAATTCCACCATCTATTTATAATCACACTAAAATATGACCTATTCTCCTTCCAAGAATTTTTCTTTTCATATCCATTTTTGTATATATTATAAAATTTAAATTTTGCTATATATAGTAATTCTATATCCTTTTTTAAATTAATATTTCATCTATGTGACCAAACATTCAGCTATTAGATTAAAAATTCTTTGTAAACATAATTTTAATTGCAATATAATATACTGAATAGATATAAAATAATTTGTAATTCAATTATTATTTTATATTTACATTGTTTTCAATGTCTTCTATGATATATAAACCTAGGACAGGTACTAGTATGTACAGATCTTTGCTCCATTTCTGAAATAAAAAATTTTGAGATCAGTGGGCACAAACATCTAAAAAGATTTTTGACACTACTGGAAAATTGGTTTTAGAATTGCTAAATCAAGGTATATCCCTAGGACATGAGCCTGCTCATTCACTGCATCTTTATTCTCACTGAGCATTATGGTTTTAAAAAAATATTTACTAACTTCATAGATAAAAAATAATACATCAGTGGAAGTTTCTTACTGTTTTCATGAAACTATGAGACAGGAACCACTCTCACAAACACTCCATTCCAGTAAATTCAAACCATGCCAATAAAGTGTTTAGTTTTAATATTATCATCAACTATGAGTTTAAGCTCACAAAATACAAACAAATCTCTAATAAGACTACTCCAAAGTAACAGGCAAAACCTTATTTCTAGCAGTCTAAGGGGAAGATCTAGGCTACTGAAGGGAGCCCAACAAAGTGATGCTGAGTGTCAAGCCACATAACCTGCTAGAGAGCCTAAGGACTCATTAGAACGTGTTAGCTTTCTGTATAGAGCAGAGGGGAAATGGTTAACATGGGAAACACAAGCAAGTTGCAGTCTCTCTTCTCTCTCTACCATTGCAGAAGAGATGAACAAAAGACATTTTTCAATTCAAAAGGCACCTGGAAACAGAACTACTCAAACTCCAGTATCATAGAAAAGAACTGCTTAGACATAAGTGTTTAAAGTTCAACCACAGCATTCAATGAGGAGTAAGGGGATAGAAGAATGAGGCCAAGGGTAATCCTCTTCTTTCTTCTGGTGAATTTTAATCTAGGTGTTTCGAAATTCATATTAAGAGAAATCTACATTTTCATGCAGGCTGGGCCTTATGAATGTTTGGTTTAGACTAAAATGACTTGGATGTGTCTCCCACATTGAGTTAAGGGAGATGCCACCTTCATGTATGCAGAGGTTTCAAGTGGCAGATGTCGTACACCCAAGTACCTTTATAATTTTGGTGGCCAGCAACAGAAATACACACATATACACAAAAGCTAGAAGAGCAGACTCGGGCAGTACCCATTTCTAACACTATCCAAAGGAGCGAGAATCTTGGCTTTGGAACACAAAGCCCCATTGGCAAGCTGACCCCATGGTGGACATGCAGTCACTGTGCTCTCTTAGATCCCTGCCTCCCATAAATATTTGAGTGCTTACTCTATAAAGTACTATGCTAGAGATTAGGGTTCCTGATGAATAAGGCAGACATAGCCCCTGCTCTCACAGAACTGAAAAAGAGTAAACAGATATGTAAAATATTTTAATTAAAATTTCATTAAGTGCTTAAATGAAAATGTCAGGTATAATGAGAATGTATAAATGGGCATAAGGGGTAGGGAAACCTATGTTGGGAGTTGTAGAGGCTTCCTTAAGGAGGAGATATTTGAACTGAGCTCAGAGGATGAGGGGAATTAAACTGCCAAAGGCTACCCCAGGTAGTATGCACAAAGTCCTTCAGCAGCCCTTGGTGGAGAAGACCTCTCAGATGGTCTTCCTGTCCTCCCTTGTTCAGTTCCCATGCTTCTTGTCAGCCTTTCTAATCCTCATTTGGTTTCTCATGTAAATATATTTGCAGATAGAGAATGTATATAATACCTGGCATTCTAGTTTGTACAACATTCTTTGAGCTTGGTTAATGAAAGTTTGCTCCCAAGAGGCAAACCCTCTTTGGGCATGTTAGCAACATCAATCAGGTTTTTAAACTTAGAAGGCCACACTTCAGAACTTGCCCTCAGTTCTGGGACCACAGGGGTTATGTCAGCCTTGTTCATCAGGATCTCTAATCTCTAGCATAGTACCTTATACAGAGCGAGCACTCAAATACTTGTGGAAGGAAGGACAGTGGGGGGACTAAGAGAGCATGGCGACTGCATGTCCACCATGGGGTCAGCCTTTTTGATGGGACTTTGTGTCCCTAAACCAAGATTCTCTCTCCCTTTGATAGTGTTAGAGATGGACACTGCCAAAGTCTTCCCTGCTTGTCTCCTATTTTTGGGTTTCTAGTGCTGGCCAACCATGCCCCTCTAACTCTCACTTTGGACATGCAATACCTTTGATCAAGTTACAGTCTCATCACACTGGCCTAAGTTTCTGTCTGCTGAAGCAGCTTTGTATACCTCTGGTCTAACGTCTAACCTAGTTTATTAGGGTCATTTATAATTTCAATCTCAGAGGACAGCCTTATTTCCAAGTTCTTGGGAGTTACCACACTGTCAACCCCTGTAATTGCCAAACTATTGCCTGGGTCATTAAGGATGGAGATACTCCAGGATGCACAGCAGTCACAGGAGAAATAAGATAAGCATGTGTGCATGTGGCTAAAGCCTGTTCCTTCTTCATAAGAACAGAAGCTAGAAATGAAATTCTTATATTTGGCTATTTTCTAAAAATATGATATTAATTTTGAAAATTAAAAACAGAACAAGTTCTGGCCTGAAAGTCTGGGTGAGATCTAGACTGTTTTGATCCTGGCTCTGACACTAACTTGGCTTTCAGCAGGTCCTATTTCAATGTTAACTTCTGTTAAATAAAGGGGCTGGACTAGATGACTACTATAGCCCTTTCTGATACTGACATTACATTATTCAATAATTATTTTTCACCTAAGAACTCTTTCTTCCCCGACTTCATAAGCACCCCAAAGATCAATCCAGCTTCTGGCAGCAACTACCACATACTTGGGAATCTGGGTGAATCATCTCTAAATAAATCATAGAATTACCTAAGGATTTTTCATGATTACAAATGAAAATCATTCAGGAGATGAGCAGAGATTCCTGGGACCTGATACAAGTGAACACAGCAGATTCTCTGACACGCAGATCTTCTGGACCCTTGGTAATCACTGGATGGAGAACCGAGATGCCTGGGAAATCCAGTTACAACCCAGCTCTAAGGTACTCTCTTCCTTTGATTGTCCCTAGAAGCAGGGTGCTTATGGAAATTATTTTTCATATGTAGAATAGTCAATCATTATAAAATGTTTTCATAAGCTTATACCTTTTACAACCTTTGCAAAAAGCAGTTCCCTTATCTATTCTTCATATTGGAGAGTTCAACGCCTCTCACCTCACCCCTCTGCGCTCAGATCTGTGCACATATCCTGTCACTGGTGGTAATTACTATCTCAAATAGGTGTTCAGCTATAGTAAAAACAAACTAATTATAATCTGCTTATAACCAAAAATAATCTGTTTTAATTGGCTGGTATGTTAATTTCAAAGCCACGTTTATGTTGAAACAGTTTACAAATCCTGCTTAGAGAATGGGCATGTCTGGTGAGGCCCTTCCCCACCTGATAGAAAATCACCAAAAAGAATAAAGACAGACCACTAAGGGGCTTACAATCCAGAGACATACATTTGTTTCTGCTGTAGCAGCTGTGAACAGACTGAGCAAAGCCATGTGAATTCCAAACGATGTATTCTATTAGCTCAAATAGGATGTTTACAAAAAAAAAATGCCCTGAGATTTATCTGAAAATGGGCCTGGGAATGTTTTACTACCTACCTTGAGTAGTGAGACTCCACCCCCAGGGCCTCCCGGACACTGGCAATGTGCTGCTCCAGGGCTGAGCCAGTTGCTGTTGGAAGGGTTGCGCCGCTGCTGGCCTGGAAGTCACTTGAGTTTTCCACGGTGTTCTCACCCAAGTAGTGTTCATGAAACTTCAGAATTCCTGAAGCAAAAGAGGCACAGCTGACATTATACACAATAGGGCCAGGGAAAAGAGAAGCTGAGGGCAGTGGACAGGAATGCCAATGGTATGTGACTTCATCTTGCAAACCCTGTGAAAAAAATCCTGAAATCAAAGGTCTCAAGAGGGCTTACTCTATTTTGGTCAGTACCCTTTTTACAGCTTTTACCATTAGGTATGGTGCTTGAAACCAAGGAATTCAAGATATGGCTTTTGCTTTTGATGATATATTCAGAAGCTCCTGAAATTATGACTACTTCATATTTGTTTCAAAACAGATGCTTCCTAGAAGCACCAGCTAGGGAAAGTCTCCTCTCAGGAATAGTGTATGAGTATGCCAAGACATATCCTTTATAGAAACTAAAATCCAGAAGAAAAATACAATTGGCCAAGTGGAAATTGTGTTCCAACAGAGCTTTCATTTCACAAAAGCAAATTATAATAAACATATAATATAAAAGCCAGATAAAAACATTTTAAACCATTTTTAAATAAGACTAACTGGTCAATGGTCATTAATGAATTAAAGGAGCAAAAAATGATGGCTGCATAAAATTGAGGCAGTCCACAGTGGTTTTCTGGCAATAAATAGGATATATTCTCAAATGGTAATGAGGTGTGTCAGCTCTGGAAAACGCCGATCCTCTCTGATTGGATTAGAGCCCCCAGCGAAAGCTTCAGAGCCTCATTAAGAGCAAAAAGGAATGGAAAAGAAACAATAGGAGCCTCATTATACATGGCTCATTATTACAGGGATTCGGATATACCACCTGTCAAATCATGTCCCTAAGATGTAACAACCACAGAGAGAAGGAGCTTGATACCTCCCAGTCATCAACTGTGTCCTCACGAGTATCCGTGCCACTCTGGGAGCTGGGATCCACAAAGATTCCACTGTGACCAACATTTACTAACCAAGTCACTGTAAAAATCACAATTTAAAACCTTCAGCATTAAAAAGGTCAGCTGTAAGAACAGTCTTTGTGGAAAGCCCATAAAGGACATGGAACTAAAGGGAAAAGATTATTAAAAACAATGCTGAGGCATAGAATGTATAGGCGCAAATGCTCATTGCCTAAAAGCATCTGGGAGCTGTCATCCAGCCATCTCTCTCTCTCTCTTTTTTTTCTTTAAATCAAAGGGATAGAAACATAATCAAGAAAATCTTGTCAATTCTCACTGGCAGTTAAAGTTTTTGAAACTGGCTTATAGATATTCAAGAAGCCCATTCTTTAAGATTCCCAATTATAAGATCCACTTCCCCAGTCAATAAACTCTAATTGGATCTGGTGTGCCTCCAACATGGTAAAGCCATCAGCATTTTATTATGCAAAAAATATGGCCCTAACAGCTAATTAGTGTTTCTGTATTTAGTGAAACTGTTACAGCCTGAACATTTAATGCTGATTTAATCAAAGGAGATTTTTACTTCTGAAATAGATTTACAGCAGAACTAGTTAAAAATCGGTTCTGTTAAACTCAGAAATTTCAAGCATAAGACTTATTTATAACCTGTGATAGAGTTGCCATTATCATTTTAGTTTCTTTGCCATGACAAAGGGTCACAATTATTAAACCATGTCTAGAAAGAATTTGTTAGGACTTGCAGTCATCTCTTTATTCGCTAATGAACAACAGCTGCCTACACATAGGGCTGCTAGTGAAATTAATTCTTCTGCTCTTAGTCTTCCTTGATAAATGCTTCCATATTCAACAGTGAGGAGCAGCGATTTCTTGGGGGAATGAGAAAGCTGAGCTCTCTTATTAATTGAATGCCCCACCATGGCATATCTACCATGGCTGAGGTTGTGCTAAAATCTGACATCAGTTCCTTAGTAAGATCTATGATAATGCACCTCTTCCACCTCTATTCATTAGACTTTCACAGGTCTAGTCTTCTAATTGTCCTGTTCCCACAGAAAGAGATCTTACCTGCCCCAGGAGCAAGCAGCCAGCTATACAGATAGCCTGCGGCCAGGGAATAGTAAAGCACTAGTCCCCTCTGGCCATTAACCATCTCTAAGATCTGATCAATAGTGACTGGGGAGTAGGGGTCAGAGTCCTGTTGTCCTGTTTGTCGTTCCACCAGAAGATCAGCAAATGCCCTTGTCCGTCCCCTTTCCGCCACAGCCAGAGCTTCATCATGATGGCCTAGGAGACAAAGAGATATGCTGAGGAGTCCATAGCGAGTATGCTTACTTAACAGTATACTGTTAAGAAACCTCACTGCCTCTGCTCTCCAATATGTGACAGAATCTCAATCGCACTGCTTCAAATTCAATTCCCTGCCTCAGATGGTGGGTGCAGTATCCTACATGACTGATTCCACACTACCTAAACCATCGAGTCTTCGCCTGTCTTGCAGCCAGTGTCACAAAGGAGCTACTCTAATTCAGTCCACTTGTCTTTAGTCCTGCCCTTCTCTGTTCTACCTCCTGAGTTGTTCCCTAACTTTTTTTTTTTTCACTGCCTGTCTGGCTTCTGACACCAGGTTTATTGGTGTCACTTGGCTCTTTACATATTTTTTTTTTGAGACAGGGTCTCACTCTGTTGCCCAGGTTAGAGTATAGTGACACGATCTCAGCTAACTGAAACCTCCACCCCTGCCCCAGGTTCAAGCAATTCTCCTGCTTCAGCTTCCCAGGTAGCTGGGACTACAGGCATGTGCCATAATGCCTGGCTAATTTTTGTATTTTTAGTAGAGATGGGGTTTTGTCATGTTGGCCAGGCTGGTCTCAAACTCCTGACCTCAGGTGATCTGCCCGCCTCAGCATCTCAAAAATGTCTATGCATCCTCTGACTCTCTTTCTCTCTCTCTCTCCTCTCTCCATGCAGCCTCTCTATGCGTAACACTGTCCAGCCTTATCCATTTCTCTCCAAATTATATCTCCATCCCTTTATGCATGCCAGCTCCTCTCCTGGGTATGTCCTCATTTTCACTGGTCTTGTCTCAAGAAGAGGGATGCTAATAGGTGTCCTGCCTATCTCAAAGGGCTATTTTAAAAATTAAATGAAGCATTACACGTAAAGATGCCTGGTAGGCCTACTTAAAGCACTACATGTGTAACAGGTAGTAGCAGTGTTGTTGGGGCTGATATCTCATTCCATTCTGGAATCCCACACACTTTTTCCTTTATCCCCATGGGCAAAGAGTTTAAACCTCTCAGGTCTCCATTTCTTTAAAATTGCTTCTCTATTTCAAGTTTTCCTGTCTTTTACTTGAATTTCGAATCACACTTTCCTTAAGAAACTGGCCTATAATCTAGTTTAAAAGCTAATGCGCCAATATGAAAGCACAAAAAAACATAAAGGAATTGTTTATAAGTGCTGAAGGAACAAACACAGAGGATTTACTTTTGTCATACATGTAAATATGGAAGAGTTACTATAACTAGAGTCCAAAGAAAGCAGACAGAAGCAGACCAGATGCTGCAGCTATGACAGCACTTCAAGGATGCCTTGCTTCCTGCAGTTTGGGTATTGGAAGCAAGTAGAGATTTATACGTGTGTGAGTAAATGTCTCCTTTTACTCTATTAAGTTATTAACTGGAACAGCAGGGACAATTTCTGTGTACATTGGAAAACGGGCCCCAAAGTGCCAGACAGACTTAACACTGTGATTATAATAGATAATAAACTGTAATCCCACGCAATGAACACATTTAATAGATACATTTTTCAAAAGGAAATTTGAGACTTCTTATACATACAGCAAAGGACAGGTTATCAAAAAGGCCTCAATATCCAAATTGAAAGCCTTTGATCGTTCTAATAAATATCTCCTGGGAAGAGGCAGATGACAGACAGGGGAGCTGGCAGGGACTGGCTGACTAGTTAAGGCCCAGGTGAAAAAAGATGCATGCTGCCCCAGTGTGATGGGGCACACAGGCTTGGGAGAATCATCACTGACTGTGCCACTGCCTAGGAGGCAGACCCAGGTGGTAAAAACATTTATTAAACAGCAACCTCGAAAGATGTATGGCTGAGGAAATAGGGAAAAGGCAGGTGTCTTAGGTACTTCCCCTTAGTCAGATGCTTGAACCATGTGCTAGTGGTGAGAGGGAACCTGGGGAGGGCACACCTGGTTCAAGCATCCCTGTCTCAAGGACACTTTCTCTGCCTCCTGGACCCAGAGACAAGAGACTTTGTTGAATCAGACAAGCGACTTTGTTTCAGGCTGAGTGTGATGGTTCATACTTGTAATCCCAGCACTTTGTCCAGGCCAAGGCGGGAGAATTGACTGAGCCCAGGAGTTCGAGATCAGCCTGGGCAACATAGTGAGACCTCATCACTATTTAATTTTTTTTTTTTTTTAAAGAGACTTTGTTTCCACAGCATCAGAGTTTATCTTAATGCCAATCAGCACTGTACTGGACTTACTGACTTATGTCTCTCCACAGGCTAAGAGCTTCTTATGGTCAGGAACCAGGCCTTCTTGACTATAATCCCCAGGGCAGGCACTCAGCACATGGTCAGAGCTCTACTAATCTTCTTTGAATAAATGAATGAATGTTCAATGACTAATTGTAGTTGTGGCTCCACAGTCTGTTGTCACAAAAAATCATATTTCCTCGCTGCTGTCACTAAACAACTTGGACACACACCCGTGCGCACTAGTGCACACATAAGCAAGGAATAAGCTGGGGTTCCAGCTGTTCTCACCTAGGCTGACGAGCACCCGCTGCAAGGCCTGGTAGGATGATGTCTGTAGGTCAAAGAGGGAGAGTTTGTAGTCTGTGCTCAGCTGTGCCTCATGTCGGATCGTTTCAAACAAGGCTGATGCCCTATAAAGCTGCAAGGAGGGAGGAAGAACATCACTTATTCCCCAGAAGCCAATGTCCAGCTGTTTACAGACTAGAGACAACTGTTGCTCATATCTCTGTGCACAACCTAAGTATTTTTTTAAAGATTTGAAAGGAAGAATCTTATGTCCACGTGTAAGGAAAATGAATGTGCCGTGGTCAAGAATAGGCCAAGGCAGACATCCAGTCCAGCGTGGCTCTGCCAGTTTGGAGCACAGGTGCACAACTTCACTCATTATGTAACCATGCCACGTGAGGCTCACCCATGTGAGCTCGTGCTTAGCTCAGAGCCACTACTGTCTGTAAAAGGTATAATTACCCTGCTAATGTTATATATATGGCTTGCACCCACAGCTTGCAGCTGGGCTCACTCATGCCCAGAGTTTCACTCATCCTGAAACTGTCTATGATTCCTCGAGTGTTTTTCCATCTACTTGCCACTTGCCCACTGACTTCCCTCATTAGAACCTGACACCAGGTAGGTCTTTGTGGACCTGAAAAGGCATCAGATCATATCCAGTAAATTACAGTTTATATAATCCATTTTTGATGCATAATGGGATCTAAAAGACATTATAGACTTATGGTCTTAAAGATATGAAAACAGCTATTAATCCAACCAAGTGCTGATTTTTATTAAAACAAAAAGCCTCTCCTCTTGTCATCAAGCAACCACAGTTCACCACCATCACACCTCATGGTGAGGAAGGATGGGAGTGGGAACAGGTGAGATGGAGGCATACTGGAAATGGATGAGACTGAGAGGAAGAGAGTGCCACATTCTCTGGAGGGCAGCAACTCTTTGCAGATGGTTCAGTGCCTCAGGGTCAGATCACCACTGGGTAAGCTCCTCAAGGAGTCATGCCCACTCACATGGACACTCTGAGGACCAGACAGTTGCCATTCCTGACAGAGACACTGTCCTGCTGCTCTAACATGCTTCTCCATCAGTGAGGCCACAGACTTTTCTGACTCTGATATTTTATTTTTCCCCCTTATGCCACACTGTCTAAGATGACTCTGATATTTATATGCTGGAAACTCAGAATCAAATTTTAAATTTATCCAAACTTAAAAATCATCAGAATTCTAAGACTACTTCTTTCTTGGCCTTTTGGCTAAGATCAAGTACAGAATTTTAAGACTAAGAGACTTAGACCCAGAGAGTGCTAAGAGAATGTGTTCCTAACTCTGCTACTAACTGGCTGTGTGACCTTTGGCAAGACTCAGAGACTCAATTTCTTCCTCTCTATAAAGAGGGAAGTTTCTACCTCACAGGGTTCTTTTAAGGATCAAATTCATTGAGGTATAATAAATACTTTCAAAATTTCAAATCAGAATATCAACACAGGTTTTACCTTTTATAACCAGGAAATTAGAGAATCAACCTTTTATATTGCCCCTAATCATTTCACAAATACAGTAAAACACCCTAACATTCTAGAATGCTGTGGTGCAAATTCAGTCACATGTCTTCAACTCTTGTGAGCACCTATGGATAGAAGACTGGATGTCTCCTTGGTCCCCTCTGCCTACCACAATGTCCTCTGCAGTCACCACTCACATGCTCGCTATCTGGATGAGTGTGTGATTTTAGATGCAGCCATCTCACTACTCCTCCAACCTAACAGAGGAGCCCATAACTCTAGGGACCTTTCTACTCTCCAGGGCCAGCAATGACAAGTGATTTTCCTTCAACTACTTGCACATATGCAGAAACATGGCCTTCTTTTAAAAGAGGGAGAGAGAGCAGTTATATCTATTAATATGTCTAGGGACATTAAATCTAATAATTATAAATTTTTTTACTTCTGTCATGAAATGAATATAATTTTATTATTATATTAATGTTTAATGGGGAGCAATAGCACTTAATACAAGAATTCCTAAGAAATTATTGATAAATCTATCACGAATGAGCAAAAATCTTTACTGATTGTTCAATACTTCTGGGCTGGTACAGGCTGGAAATCACACACATTAGCCCAAGGGTAGAAGTCAGTGCCTCTGATAAATGCCATCACTAGTAGGAAAGTAATCCTAAGGCCTTCCATGCTGCCAGAAACAAAAAATCCACTTCAGTCAGGCGTTCTGCTTACCTGGTGTTGGGCCTCCTCCAAGTTTCCACTAGCCCAAAGGGAGAGGCCAAGGCCATGGCGAATTTTTGCCTCATCTTCTCTTCGGCCCAGTTGCTCAGCTAACCTTAAACCTGAAACCAGACAGAGAAATTTAAGGAAACAGAGAAGACAGATAATTTCACTATCTTAAGGAGTCCTGGAGGGTCATTTTACTTTTCTGTTGTTTGTTTGTTTTGAAACAGGGTCTCACTCTGTTGCCCAGGCTGGAGTGCAATGGCAGCTCATTGCTGCTTTGACCTCCCCAGGCTCAGATGATCCACCTCAGTCAGCCCCAGAGTAGCTGGGACTATGGGCACAGGCCACCACACCTGGCTGGCTTTTGTATTTTTTGGTAGAGACAGGGTTTCACTATGTTGCCCATGCTGGTCTCCAGCTCCTGGGCTGAAGTGATCCACCCACCCTGGCCTCCTAAAGTGCTGGGATTACAGAACTGAGCCACTGCTCCCATCCAATTTTGCTTCAAGTGTCTATAAAAAAAATGCTAACCAGAGTTACTCAGGAAGCTGAGGCAGGAGGACTGTTTAAGCCCAGGAGTAAGAATCTAGCCTGGGCAACTTAGTGAGACCTATCTCTTTAAAAAAAAAAAAATACTAACAACACGGCTAGATAAAATGAGGACAAGAGCTGGATCAGCCAAGGTAGAATAAGCATTCTCTTCAAATTCTGTGCTGGTAGCAACATTTCCAGGATGTTCCAGGATGCCTCGGCAAGAGCTCAGGTGATGGCTATCAGCAGGAGACAGGTTTGCAGGACAGACAGAAACACTAAAACAAGTGAAACCTAACCTGGTCACCCTCCTAGATTTGAAATCCATAGCTTTGCAAATGAAAACTCCTGGCTGATAAATTTATCTAACATGATTCTTCGACTGGCAAAGTGCTTCCTGACAGTTAAATACAGAAGGAAAGAGAATATTTTTCCTTTCTCAAGTGCACAGCATCCAATGAGTATTAACAGAAGAAACACACGATGTTCTTCTGAAAGTAGAATATGAACACAGCCTGACCCTGCCTTCTGTTACTGATGCTACTGAAACATTTCATGTTTAATCTGTTTTCCCTTCAGTCTAAGACTTTGATGTGCCTCAGCAGGGATGCAAAACAAGTGCTATTATGAGGCAAAAGCCTTAAATGAGACCATCCTCATTTTAGTAGCCTTCAGATAGGCACCTGCAGTTTGGGTCACTTACCCACAGCAAGCTTCTGGGTTTCAGGACACCAGCAACCTCCAGGGCTTTGTGAGAGTGAAATCTGAAGGCAACCATTTATTGTATTGGTCACCGGGCAGTTCTCAGCATCGCTTTGCCCTCATTATCCTGCTCTCTGTACCTAGAAGCTAGCTTGTGCAGAGACAGCATGAAGGCTCCCACCGTACAACTGCACATACAAAGGAAGGACTTCCTTCTTCTAATCTAATTCAGGGTAGATGGAAGCCTGCCTCTGATCATGCTGGGCCTGTGCAATTTCAGACTTTTGAAAAGGAATTGAGGCTGTTGAGAGGGTAAGAAAAGTAGCACTCAGGTTCAAGGTCATAAATATACATTTCAAAATGCTCATAACTCAGAACTTAGAAACAACATATTTTTTTTTTTTTGAGACGGAGTTTCGCTCTTGTTACCCAGGCTGGAGTGCAATGGCGCAATCTCGGCTCACCGCAACCTCCGCCTCCTGGGTTCAGGCAATTCTCCTGCCTCAGCCTCCTGAGTAGCTGGGATTACAGGCACGCGCCACCGTGCCCAGCTAATTTTTTGTATTTTTAGTGGAGACGGGGTTTCACCATGTTGACCAGGATGGTCTTGATCTCTCGTGATCCACCCGCCTCGGCCTCCCAAAGTGCTGGGATTACAGGCTTGAGCCACCGCGCCCGGCCTAGAAACAACATTTTAAGTTTAAATCATGTTTTGGATAACAAAAATATTTGTAAATAATTCACATTTTTAAACACCTCACAGAATAGAAAAACATATTAAAGAAGATGGTTCTTGGGAAAAAACCAGAAGGACACTGATTGCTTAAACCTTCAATAAGCCAACCACATTAATTCTTCAATACAGATGTCCCTGCTAGGTCGAGATCTGAGTCAAAAGTAAAATTCATTAAGACAACTCCTGCTTAGAAGGCTTGTTCTCTGAGAACAGGGACTTTGCTTTGTTCCTGCTGTATTCCCAGCATGTAGAACTCTGAGGTTCAACAATGAAGAGTTAAAAGCCCACTGGATAGACAAGATATCTGTCCTGCCCCAGCTTCTATCTGCTTCTGGCTCTTAGGAACCTGACTCACCCTCCAGCTCTCCTAGAACCTATAGTTTGTCAGGGACTGTTCCCAGGTAAGTCACCAAGTTGATCCATGCTCCCTTTCTTCATTTGCAAGAAGAGGAAAGACTGGGTGAGACCACTGGTTTTAACCAGAGGTGTCCTCCTCCGCAGCACCTGGAGACCTTGTTCAAAAGACTCAGACCAGGCTCCATTTGTGAGAGTCTCATTGCACGGAAGCAGGGTGATGCTGATCCACAGGCCCCACAGCCTCCTCCCCTCAGAAACCCAGGAGAGAGGGAGCAGTAAGCTGGTTTCCAGATAAGCTAGTCCTTCATTGCCAGAGGCTGCAGACCTAACTCAGAGCATTCGAAAAGCACTGTCCAGGTGTCCTGCACTCATGAAAAGAGGCATCTGGTTTGGCCCATGAGGCAAGCCATCGGCTGCAGGCTCCCTAGTGGACACTTCCACAAAATAGATACTGTAGAGGTGCTACAAATTAGAGTTTTAGATGTCTGAAAGACTTAAAAATTATAAGAAACAATAAAAATGAACTTGAGAATTTTCCATAAATATAGAATTGTTTTGCAATGTCTCAGGCAAACCAGCTGTTTCATGGAAGTAGTATTTCAGGAAGTACAAAAGAACACAGCTGAAAAGTTGTCATATGACTGAATTTAATAGTTTTCACAAATTCAACTGAAAATTGCTCCTTGTCTGCTGGAATTTTACCACAGTTAAGTTTCAGGAAATTAAAAGCCAACATTCTCATTTAATGCATTGAGGCAGAGCCCCATGTAGACAGAATGGGAGCCAGAGAAGGTCTGGGAAGAAGCTTCAGACTCTGTAACCTCTCAGACTGCAAGCCAGCACAGTCCCTGGTCCATTGCAAAGGAGACCAGTGAATCAACCCTTCACCCATTCTCCTCTTTGTTTCCTGCTTCTCTCTCTCCTGGCTTCCCAGTGGGGGCTAAGGAGTAAAAGATGATAGGGTACCCAACCCTGCTCTGCAATTGCAAAGTTAGAAACAACTTCAGAGAGGGTCTTATGTGATTCCTGGTTCAGAAAACCCAGGCTGGGTCCTATTCCTTGACTAACTGACCACATGATCAGGATAAAATCACTGTACTCCTCTGAACCTCAGGTGATTAAACTGCAAAAACGGGAATCAAAAGATATACCTCACAAGACTATCGTGAGAACAGAATCAGATTAAATGTACTTTATGTGCAAAGCCCCTTGGAAGTGAGAGTTTTTGCTTGAAATCAGTAACCATTCCTTTTACCAGTGAGCTACCTGCCCCTTTTCCCTTCTAGGGTGAGATGATCTAATGTGCCTGTGTGAGGGGAAGGACTTTCAAGAGCAGAAAGATCCACCTCTAGGGGAAATGCATTGCTGTGGGACTTCAGCTTTCGGAAGAATGAATCATCCAAGGTCCAACTGTGCAGCCTTCAGTTTCTAGGCCTGCCTGGAACAAAATCCTACTGTGGCCCCAGCCTAAGCACTGTCAGTGACAAATGCTGGGAAGGAAGCCTGGTTTACTGCTTGAGTGACCCTCAGACTGATGCTTCTAGATTAGACTTCAACTGCCATGTCAGAACTGACTCAAGTTTTCATATAGTTAGTTTAGATACTCATTAGAGGGATAACAGTGCTTGGAGCAGATGGGCATTTTCTTCTGATTCAAACCCTTATAATTTTTTAGGATTACATCTTACTTGATTCGTCTGCATGAGAACAAGTTGCTCATTCCACAGAGGGTTCTGAAAAGCAAGGAGGGTATCAGCTCCTTGGGCATCTGGCAAGCAGTAGAGGCTGTCACTAAAAGAGTAAGACAATCTGGGTCCAGAGAGAGCAGGGCAAGGTGCTACGGACAATGAAACACCTTAGTACTGTCAAGGGACACTTGGTGGGGACACTGTAATTCTGGAGTTGAGCTGACAATGTGGCTTCTGAGACCCTTACTCCACACAGAGGTGGCCACTCAAACTGTGCATACTTCCCTCTGAGTCTTGAGTTCTGACTCTGAACTTGATTTCAAGCAAGCCAAGACAACAAAATGGGCCTTTTCACCTACCTTCCTGTAAGTACATGACTGCTTGGGAATAGTTCTGCAAGGCATGATGGGTCCTTCCAAGGCTACTATATGACACCGTCTTGGCCACCAAGTCATTCATCTGTGCAGCAATGCTCAAGTGCTGTTCTTGATAGACCACAGCCCTCTCGAAGGTGCCCAGGGATTCATAAGTCAGGCCCAGGTTCCCATAGGCTCGGCCCTGGCATGTGGGGTTGTTGGTTTCCTCTGCTATCTGTAGATCAAGCTGGTGGTACTGCAGGGCTGTGTCATACTCCCCCATCTGCTGGTAAACACCCCCCAGGCCACAGGCTGCATCACTCTCCAGGGCTCGGTCTTTCATATCTCTAGCAATGTTCAGCTGGCGTTCAAGGCAGGAAATGGCTTGTTCGTAATTCCCTAATTGGCTGTGCAGACTTCCCAGCTCTCCATAGGCCTGGGCTTTATTGAAGGCCTCCCCGAGCTCATGGGCAACCACGAGCCTCTTTTCAAAGCACACGAGGGCTTGCTGCAAGTTCCCCATTGCCCTGTGGGGATGTAGACAGAAAAGCAATGATATTATTTTGTGCAGGTGCAGACAGGCTAAAGCCCCTGAGAAAATGAAAAGCATTTGTCACTGTCACTTACTATAGAAGCTCTTAACTCCTCTTCTAGCTAAAATCTATCATGTGCCCTTAGAGTGAGATGCAGAGGAATTTCATAATCTGAAAAGCAATTCAAAAGTCATCCCTTAGTGACCTTCCCAAGAGCTTGAGATTCAATGGGATATACACCCCAGAGGAAACATAAAATATATTAATAGGCACAATGATAGCAAGTGAACTGTCTGGTTCTTCAGGCCTCCCTATTTCCACTACTGCTTAGACTATGTTTTTGAAATCACTTTACAGTGGCTATAAATCTTTCACCCTGAGCTTCTCAGAGCATTCTGTGGGTGAAGATTTAGTTTGACCCTTGCCCTTCCTCTACTCCAGGAGCCCTAATCCCCTCTCTGGTGGGGCCATATATTCTGCAGACACAGACACCTTCTTGGGTTCCCCACATTTAGGAATAAGTATCACCTTGACCAACAGTGTGTCCTTTTGTGCTGCTAAGAGAAGACATAAGAGTGGGAAGAGAATGACCAAACCAGTTGTGTGGGGCACATGAATTCATTCCCCTGAGCCTCTGATTCTGGTGATAATAAATCCCACATCCCACAGAAGATGATAATAGATGTAGAGTAATACGGAAAGATATCTGTGCAAGGGGCCTAGCATGATGCATGCTACATAGTACATTTATTCATTCCCCTATTATCAGGTAGCTTTTCCGAAGAGCAACACAGTGGGGTCTAAGTAATTGTTAGGTGCAGATGTTGTATTAATAAACACATTCATAAAATGTGGGAGGTATTCAGAAAAGATCAGTGAAAGTGACTCACTCACCTTCTCCATCCCTATTACCCTTCTCATTATAATGTAGTCAAAAGGCACTGCATTTGGAATCACAGAGCCCTGGGTTTAACTCTCAGCTGCCCCTTTTAAGCTGCCTAATCTTAGGCATTAACTCAATTTCTCTGGACTTTATTTTCTTTGTCCATAACATAAGGGTAACAACATCAACTACTTAATTCAAACAGCTGTTGGAGAAATCAGATGAGCTATGTATGAAAATGTTTTATAGTTAACAAACTGCCATGCAGACATGAAGTTGCCATTACTGTCTCAAATGCTCTTTGTGCAGAACTATAAATCATATTTGTCCTTGGTCATTTTTACCTGTGTCCATTTCCCAGGCCGCGGTAAGCCTTGGCTTGGTCTTGCATGCGATTCAGACTCTGGGCAACAGATAAATATTGTTCATAGTATTTGATAGCTTCCTCATAGTCACCCAGGGCTTCGTAGCAATCTCCCAAGTTGCCATAGGCCCGGCCCCTGTCGAGTACAGACTCATTTCCACTTAGCTGCTGCAGCATGGCCAATTGCTGCTCAAAGTAGCCAATGGCTTCTTCCATCACATTCATGTTCATCTTTGTGATGCCCATATTGCCATAGACCTGGGCTTCCAGACTCGGATCCTTCAGCTTTTGCCCTAGATCAAGTTGCTCTTCATAACACTTGAATGCCATTGTATACTTCCCAAGGGCCATGTAGACGGCAGCCAGGTGCCCATGAGCTCTGCACTCCCCTGGCAAGTCACTCAGCTCCTGATATACCTCCAGTTCCTGTGTGTGATAACCCAGGGCCTTGTCATACTTCTGGATCATTCGGTATGCAGTGCCCAGGGCTGCATATGCACTGGCCTCTAGTCTTCTATCCTTCACCTGGTGAGCTAAGCCCAGCTGCTGCTCATAGAATTTTATTGCACCATTTATATCTTTTTTACAGATGAATATATCGCCCAGGTTCCCTAGGGCTCGAAATTTAGCCTGGGAATTATTCAGAGACTGGGCTAGGGACAGTAGGTACTTCTGACACTCTTCAGCTTTACTGAAATTCAGCAGAGCCTTGAATGCTAGGCCCAAGTTGCAGTAGGCTTTTGCTTGGCTCAACTTGTCGTGAAGGTCTTTGGCCAGTGCCAGATCCTGCTCGTAGTACTTCACTGCCTCCTGGTAATTTCCAAGGCAGTAATGGGCATAGCCAAGATTGTGGCAGACCTTCCCTTCTCCCTCCATGTCTTGAAGGTCAGGAGCAAGCCGGAGATACTGTTCATAATAGGGGGCAGCCTGGATATACTCTCCCCGAGAGCAGTGGAAATTGCCCAGGTTGCTGAGGGCCCGGGCCTCGCTCTGGATGTCTCGTAGCTCCCGGGCGATGTTCAAGTGATTCTGATAGTGTTGCAGGGCTCGGTCATGGGCACCCAGCGCCTGGTAGGCCACAGCAAGGTTCCCATGCGTGGAGGCCTGCGAGGCGCGATCGTTCACTTCCATGGAGATCTGCAGCTCCTGCCGATGGTATTTGACAGCCTGGTCGTACATGCCAAGAGCATTGTAGGCATTGCCCATATTCCCATAGGCACGGCCCTGGGCAGCATAATCACTCAGCTCCTGAGCGATGCACAGGTGGGCCTTGTGGAGTTTCAGTGCAGTGTCATAATCGCCTTTCATCTGGTGTATGATTCCTGAGAAAGAGAAAAAAAGAACACACTAAGACCGAAATAACTGATTTGCAATGTAGAAAGAAATGTAATTTGCATCTCAATTTATAGTAAAAAGCAATCCAGATGAATTAAAGAATTTAAAATAACAGAAGGTAGAATTAAATATTTATCAACTCTCCAGAGGGAGGATAGCTTAAGTTCCAAAGCAACAGAAAGAAACATTTACAGATTTTATTACAAAAATGTTTGCACTATAAATACATATCTAAAATTAAAAGGCAAAACAATACTGGAAAATATATTAAATATAAATGAAAAAGTTCAACAGCAATTGTGTGTAAAGAGTTTTACTCAGCTTGATTTATTAAAAATGAAGATCCAATTTACTAAAATAAGCAAAGATCTGTAAATGTCAGCAGACAACTCACATCCAAAGAAATACAAAGAGTAACCACAGGGGAAAATGCTAATTTCCTTTAATAATCAATGAAATGCAAAATAAAGCAACCCTGAAGTACCATTTTACTTCAGCTAAATTAGCAAACAAAAAAATTAACCACAACTCCTACACTGATGAAACTGTCCTGAAATTGGTAAACATACCAACTGCTGGGGACATAAACTGAAACAACTTTTTTGCACAAGCAGATGGCAAGAACCACAAACACTCCTACTCTGACCCAGCAATCCTACTCAAGGGAAAGTATCCCAAGAAAATCATCTGACAAACACAAAAGCTTGCATAACAATACACATAACAACCTTCAATGTGGCACTACAGACTACTGGAAAATCAGAAACATCTTAAATGTGAAACACTGGGAGATCGTATAAGTACATTTTGGTATATCAACTAAACAGACAATTATATAGTCATTAAAAAGATAATTATGAAGTCTATATTGAAAAATGGGGAAACAATGTTCTTGTAATCCTATTACCCGGAAAAATCGGGAAAAAATGCTGTATACTCCTGTGACAATAACTAGGAAAATAAGTATGTCCACACACATGAACAAGCTCTTGATGAGGTTATGCAAAAATAAGAATAGTTGCCTTGTTAGGTGGTGGAATTTCAGTAATTTTTGTTCTAAAATCTCTTGTAATTCTGCTATACTGCTTTTACAATCGACAATAACAGTGTTTCAAACAAAATCATAAACCATATTATAGCTGTTAAGCTATTATTTTAACAAGCAGTTAAAATGAGATTATCATAAATGTCCTAACTATAAATTGGTTTCAAATGAGGGATAGCATAATGGTAACTTGGGAGCTGGCTTTAAGGAGAGCTTGGTCCATCCCAGTTGGGGCGAGAGTGAGGACCACCACTAGAAAGGGTGGAGAGCAGCTAGTATGAAAACAGTTTTCTCCTTGCCTTTGGTTTTGAACATGCTTTTCCATGCATCAGTGTGTGAGCTTTCCAATGGTGACTAAAACTTACAAAAGCCCCAAAAGTTGAAAATGCCAAGACGTGTTACTGTTAAAACCTCTGAATTAAAGAACAGAGGCACTGAGAAAGAAAAGGATCTGTGAAAACCTAGCCTCCACAATTTGTGCATCTCTCTGACACTCTACTCATTCATTCACTTATCCAGCAGACGTTAGCTGGGTATTTATTGTATATCAGAACTTGTGGTGGGCAGCAGGGGTAGAGAGAAGAGTGAGGACAGAAGTCTCTGTCCTCAGAGAGCACAATGGGTCAAAAGGCAGACAGTACGCATGATCAAGGCTGAAGTCAGGGCAGGGCAGAAGCTGGGGGTGCAGTGCAGGATGAGTCTTGGGGGACCACTCTGCTGGTCCTGACTCCTCCCTTGCATGCTGTGGAGATCTGCCCTGCCACAAGAGTCATGTGCAGTCCTGGGAACCACCCATCTCTTTGACTTAACTGGACTTAAGGTATTGAGTAAATCATTTAGCCTTTTTGAGTTTTACCTAGTTCATCTATAAAATGAGAAAAATAATAAACGTAACACCAACCTTAGGAGGTGATAGTATCAAATGAAATAATGTACATGCAAGAGCACTGTAAACTACAGAGTGAAATTGCAATATTAGTTATTGAAATTATTTCCTTCCAAGAAAGGAAATTCTTGAGGTGATGGAAATTAAATAAACCATGATAATGCTTCTGTATATTTTTTATGAGTAAAATATTTCATGATTTAAAAATAATTAAATAAATCATGGTGACATTAAAAATGGTGAAGGGCTGGGTGTGGTGGCTCATACCTATAACCCAGCACTTTGGAAGGCTGAGGCAAGAGGATTGCTTGAGCTTAGGAGTTCAAGACAAACCTGGGCAACATAGCAAGACCTCGTCTCTACAAAAAATTTAAAAATTAGCTGGGCATGGTGGTGTAAGCCCATAGTTCCAGCTGCTTGGGAGGATGACATAGGAGGATTACTTGGGCTCAGGAGTTCAAGGCTGCAGTAGGCCATGACTTCACCACTGCACTCCAGCATGGGTGACAGAATGAGACCCTGTCTTAAAAAAAAAAAGGTAAAGTAAGTCAGGATCCAAGATGGCCAAATAGGAACAGCTCTGGAGAACAATGCAGAGGGTGAGTGAACACTACATTTCCATATGAGTTTCTACTGCTCACACACCAGGAGATTCCCAGGCTGAAAAGCACCACAAGTTTCCAATATGGCTGTTTCAGTTGGCACTGCAGATCTCCACACAAAAACTCACATAAATCAGGGCGGCCATTTCAACTGGCTCCTGGAACACCTGGGAGACACAGCTGCCAATTCAAGTGAAAAAAAAAAGGGGGGCTGCAACAGGGAGCCAGGTGATCTGGCTCAGCAGGTCCCACCCCCACAAAAAACCAGCAATCTAAAATGCCAGGATTGAAGTTTTGCAGCAAGCACAAATGGACCCAGGATGGTATAGCTCTTTGCGAGGAAGGGCATCCACCATTACCGAGGCAGTCCACCACTACCGAGGCAGTCCACCATTACCAAGGCAGTCCACCATTACGGAGACAGTCCACCATTACAGAGGCAGACTGCTATTACTGAGGCAGTTCTAACTATATCTCTGCAAACAAAACCGCAAGGAAGTTCACACAGCAACTGGGCAGAGGCCACGGCAGCTCAGCAACACCTCTGCTGGCAGATTGTGACTAGGCTACCTCCTCACTGGGCAGGGCATCTCTAAAAAAAGGCACCAGTATGTCAGGAACATATCAATAAAGCCCCTCCTTCCCAGGAAAGAGCACCTGGGAAAAAAAGGCAGTTATGAGTTCTGCTGCAGCAGACTTAAACATACCTGCTCAGCAGCTCTGAGGGAACAATAGAGCTCACAGTTCACCACTTGAGCTCCTATAAGGGACAGACTGTCTCCTCAAGCAACTCCCTGACCCCCGTATATCCAAAGAGACACCTCATAAAGGAGAGCTCAGGTTCACATCTGGCAAGTATGCTTCTGGGACAAAGACAGCAGAAGAAGAAACTGGCAGCAACCCTTACTGCTCTGCAGCTGCTGCAGGTGATCCCCAGGCAAGCAGGGTCTGGAGTGGACCTCCAGCAGTCCTACAACAGAGGGGCCTGTTAGAAGGAAAATTAAAAAACAGAAAGAAATAACTTCATCATCAACAAAAAGGACATCCACTCAGAAACCCCATCCAAAAGTCACCAACTACAAAGACCACACATAGATAAATCCACAAAGATGTGAAGAAACCAATGCAAAAAGATGAAAACACCCAAAACCAGAATGCCTCTCTTCCTCCAAGGGATCACAATTCCTCACCAGCAATGGAACAAGGCTGGATGGAGAATGAGTCTGATGAAATGACAGCAACAGGCTTCAGAAAGTGGGTAATAACAAACTTCTCTGAGCTAAAAAGTATGTTCTAACCTAATGCAAAGAAACTAAGAATCTTGAAAAAAGGTTCGACAAAATACTAATGAGAATAAACAGCTTAGAGAATAATACAAATGAATTAATGGAGCTGAAAAACACAACACAAGAACTTCAAGAAGCATACACACATTTCAATAGCCGAATCAACCAAGCAGAAGAAAGGATATCAGAAATTGAAGATCAACTCAATGAAATAAAAGAAGAAGGCAAGATTAGAGAAAAAAAGAGTAAAAAGAAATGAACAAAGCCTCCAAGAAATATGGGATTGTGTGAAAAAGACCAAATCTATGTTTGATAGGTGTATCTGAATGTGACAGAGAGAATGAATCCAACCTGGAAAACACTCTTCAAGATATTATCCAGGAGAACTTCCCCAATGTAGCAAGGCAGGCCAACATTTAGGTCCAGGAAATACAGAGAACACCACAATGATACTCCTCTAGAAGAGCAACCCCAAGGCACATAATCGTCAGATTTAACAGGGTTGAAATGAAGGAAAGAATGCTAAAGGCAGCCAGAGAGAAAGGTCGGGTTACCCAAAAAGGGAAGCCCATTTGACTCACAGCGGATTTCTCCACAAAAACCCTATAAGCCAGAAGAAAGTGGGGGCCAATATTCAACATCCTTAAAGAAAAGAACTTTCAACCTAGAATTTTATATCCAGCCAAGATAAGCATCATAAGCAAAGGAGAAATAAAATCCTTTATGAACAAGCAATTGCTCAGAGATGTTGTCACCACCAGGCCTGCCTTACAAGAGCTCCTGAAGGAAGTACTAAACACAGAAAGGAACAACCAGTACCAGCTACTCCAAAAACATACCAAATGGTAAAAAGCATCGACACAATGAAGAAACTGCATCAACTAACGGGCAAAACAACCAGCTAGCATCAAAATGGCAGGATCAAATTCACACATAACAATATTAACCTTAAATATAAATGGGCTAAATCCCCCAATCAAAAGACACAGACTAGTAAATTGGATAAAAAGACAAAATCCATCAGTGTGCTGTAACCAGGAAACCCATCTCACGTGCTAGGATATGCACAGGTTCAAAATAAAGGGATGGAGGAAGATTTACCAAGCAAATAGAGAGCAAAAGAAAGCAGGAGTTGCAATCCTAGTCTCTGATAAAATAAACTTTAAAC